ATCGTTAGGGAAAAAAAGAGAAGTTTTCTCTTTTCTCTAAAAATAAAAAAAGAAAGTGCCGCGATATTTTGCTTCGCAAAAATAAAACCTTTTTGATAACTTTCTATGTAAGCACCGAGCTTATCCGCAGGGAGTTTTCGGCTCTCTTGGTATTACGGTAGTGGTCTGTTAGCGATAATTTACATGGGATATTGGCGTGATCTAATTCGGGCGCGTTCTGGCAGCCGACGGATGGACGGCCATGTCACGTTCGATTATATCCAGAAGGACTGCGCTCCGTAACTATGAGCTTGCGAACCTTAAATGAAGTGTTAGTTGACGCGACGAGCCGTCGATCTAGATTACTTGGTCTAGACGCGATCTTCACACTGACGTTTGAAGGGCTGAGCGGCCCTTCAGCGTAGAATAACGCCGAAAAATTATATTAAGGCAAAATATTCATCTCAAAATTCATTTCAAAATTATAAAATGGTTTTAAAAAGAGAATTTGCGTTAATTAAACATGAAGAATATCACGACGCGCTATTAATTGTCTTAATAAGATTTTCTCTGCATACTTTATTATAATACTTTATTATAATACTTTATATAATAAAATTATATTAAGGCGAAATATTCATCTCAAAATTCATTTCAAAATTATAAAATGATTTTAAAAAGATAATTCTCGTTAATTAAACATGAAGAATATCACGACGCGCTATTAATTGTCTTAATAAGATTTTCTCCGCATACTTTATTATAATATTACAACAATATGATATCATCATATATAAGATTAAGTTTAATTTATCCCGCTTACACATACAGATAAAAATACGAAATGTAATTCTATTAAGAAAATAATCCTATCTTCTATTCCGCGAAAACAAAAAACTACAGATTTGTTGCAGCGATTTAGAGACATTCCGTACGAATAATTGCCACGAAAATTACAGAATAATATGCTTCATTTTCCGACCCTACAACGTTCCCCTCATTTGACGAACGTTTTAGCGGCCATTCTGGTTTACTGCCAACGGTATGAATTAACACTCAAGCGACCGCCCTTCATTTATCGTCGACTGTGAATCATCAAAATGTGGACGTTCTGTAAGGAATTTTTACGACAATTATTCCGCTAAATAATCCGATGCTACCTCTCTTAAATTGGGTAAAGAAAAATCCTAACTAACTAGAAATGCATTAATTCAAATGTCGATACTTTGGTTCCTTCAACATCCAAGACCGTAATCGGTGATATCATATTACGTGGCAATATTATATTTTATTTAAAATTTTTCTCCGTCTCTATCTTAATTTTATATTTTATTATAAAACTGCACCGATGCAATATTCAAGCAAGGCATTTGCGCACCTTTCACCTCATCAATTCGTTAGCAGACTCGAATCGATATCGTCAATCGTGACGTGTAAACAAACGCGCGAAATTTTCTGCGAGATCAATCGGACGTCTACGATCGCGCGGATTTCTCATATTCGTGAAGACCGCCTCGCTTCAAAGTAACGCAATCGCAGAGAGACGGTACCAAGAGTGAAAAGCGAACCTCCGGAATATTTTCCCCGAGTTCGTTTGCACTCGTTCTCGGGACGCAATTTCCACGTTTCAAAGAGCCAGAAGAAATTCTGGCCTGCTGATAGGAACAGCGAGTTGGCGAAACCAAATATGTATTTCGCAGTTGCTTTGATCACCTTCGCGGCGAAAACGCCTACGGCAAACGAAAAAAGACCGATGAAGCCGACGAAAAACGCGAAGACCGCCCACACTCTTTTCCGTCTCTATGCAACTTTGCTTTTTTTCTTGCTCTTTCCTCAAAAACCCGAATCGACGTATGTATGCGTAGATAGGTACATGAGGCACATGGCTTGTGTACTTCGTTTTTCCAAAGGTAAACTCGAAGGGCGATTCGCTCTTTTTAACTGCCAGGATTAATTAATGCGATCCTCCGTGAGAATTACTGGCTCGTCGCTATTTTTAAAGACATAGAGGATCCCGGGCAACGGAAATAAGGAGTAACACGACGCCGACAGTACCGAGTGATTAAACTCTCCCGGATACGTGTTTGAGGAGGACCAGGAATAATTAAAACCTTCTATCTCTTTCCTCATGAGCAAAGAATAAAGCATACCTGGACGAACGCTGACGTAAAAAGATGATCAACTATGTGTGTGAAAAAATATTCTCGTCTGTAATAAAATATCGGTGAACGAAATATAAGTCGATAGATAAAATAAATATTAATATTAAATCTACATATGTATTTATACTCTCTCATATTATATTACTAATCAAAACGAGCACATCGAATATGAAATGCAATACTATTAAGAATGAAACAAGTTAAATAAATTTAAGAAAATTTTGAAATTCTCATATTGTTTTCTTGAATTTAAAAAATTACCTTTTTCATCACTTTAATTTAGGAAAATTACAAGTATTAATTGATACGTATAATGCGGATTTTAATAAGTTTCTTGGAACTTATTTCGTTGTTACATGCGTGTCTAAATAAATAAATCTGATGTAAAAATCAGAATAGCAGAATATAAATTTTTACCGTTATGTGAACATCATAGCTGATGTTCACATAACGGTAAAAATTTATATTCGAGAGTGTATACATTGATCACCCTATATGACCTGTCACAATTATCCCGTTGTCGAAAATAAAATGAACATCGCTCGCCAACGAAAACGTTTCCAGCGAACCATATTTCGTCGTTGTTTGCGAATATTCGGTTTGATGCTTGATTGAAGGGTATTTTGCACGCGGCTAAAAATATCCACGTGTATTCCCGCTGGCAAACTTACTTATTGGAATAAAAAAAAATCACCGTGTTATTTTGATGCAAAATTTAGGAAGTCATGAGATATTCGTTCTTTTTATACGGCGCTCGTAAATGTCACGCGTGTCGGCGAATCTGTTTCAAACACACAACTGTAACTTTATTACTTTTTCGAGTTACACAATTTTAAAAAGTTTCACTATTACCGACACTCATTTCAGAAGCAGATTTTTTTGAAATTTGTGATTGGCTTTTCCTCAGCAAAAGTTTCCAAAGTAATAATAGTAAAAATGTTTTGCAAATTTCTTTTTTATATGAAACTTTGCTTACAGGAAAATTTAATATTGAGAATTGAAGGAAACATTTTTCGATTGACGAGAAATTGTGTCGACAAAATAAATACATTTCCTTATATGCAAGAATACTATAAAACATACTATATGTCGTAGATGCATACAAGCCAAATCAAAAAAATACATAATATGTTCGAATTGCATATCGGATAATTTTTATACTTCATCAACGACTCAATTAAAAAAAAGATCAATAGTCGATTCGAGTATCTATATTTGAACAAATATCGCTTTTCAAACGCAATTCACGCACAAGATAAACGGCCAAGTTTTAATAGCATTTAAATAACCGTTGGTGTCCACAAAAAAAAATTTGAATTTATGAACCTCCGGAAGAATTTAATTTAAATTTTAGATTGGTAAGCCAGGTTTAAATCCTGATTTACCACATGGCTTTTCTTGTAACAGGCACACTTACTCCCTACCTAGGCTTAAGAGAACTGTTATCACGAATGCGCGACTTTTTTATGCCCGTATAACCATAAAAAAATAATATACCGTGCAAAATATTTTGTGCCGTAAAAAAGCTGATTAAAAAAATGTCCAAGTTTTCGCGAAACGATGGCGTCATAAAATTATGCATAAAGATGTATAAGACTACCGCTGTAAATATATAATGATATATTACTAATATTTTATATAATTCCTTATATAAAAAAATTTTTAATTTTTGATTTTAACTTTTAATTTCACAATCTTCTTTTATTTAAATATTTACTACATTTTTCTTCAGCAACTAATGTTTAAAACATTAGCAAACCGAGTTTGAAAACAAAATAATCATTATACATCATACATGATAAAAAGCTTGTAATGGTATATATCGTTGAATTATCTGAAAACTTTCGCGATCGGGTCACAGTTCAAGCGCTGGGAAAACATGTTTCAAGCATAAACCCATTAATCATCAAAGTGAAAAGAGGCACCGATGACTGATGAGATACTTAACTTAACTCGCATCTAGATGGATCGAAGATGACTAAAAGACGTTCAAAAAGAAGAACCGATCGATTTAGTCCAACAACAATAGTTGTTGCATCCGCATATATCATCCTGAACGATTCTATAGACCCATAATGTGCATAATGTATAGAGGAGATAAAGTATTGAAAAATGTAAGCCAAATAAAAATTTATTAATTAGAATGGTAATTTTTCCGCAAAACTAAAAGTTTATAAAAATCTACATAATTTGTGCTCTTGTATTATTTCTAAAATAATAAAATAAAATATGTAAGCTTAATATATAAAATAAAATAATCTGTAAAATAAAATAATCTAGAAAATAAAATTAATTTTTGTGTAAAACACTTTTCAATCTAATAGTTGAGAAATTAATGACTTTCTATTCCTATCTTTCTATTTCTATCTGTCTCTATACTGTACACAAAGCTTTCGCTATTTCCATCGCTGGAAAAATATCGAGCGTTTGTATCGCCATAGGCGCGCTTTCTCTAGAAAAGATTTAACGCGTTATATGCGCAGACAGCAAGGTTTATTCGTTTCTCTTTCTCTCTCCCTTTCTCCATCCGCAAAGTTAAGTAATTGGAAGACCCGACTCTGGTGATTTATCACCGGTTTCTTGACGCACGAAAGGGCGCAGAGTTAGAGAGGAGGCTGGCTCCTCAAGCGGAGATTGTTGCCGCGTTGACCAATGATCGATCGTTCTGATAGATGCAACGCGTATTGCGAGCAGCCACACGTTGTGAGTCTCCGTTGGACGGTGATTAAGTGATTTTCGCGAGAAAAATTGCGAAACGAATCTAGCGGGATGTCGGCCTATCTCCTCGGTGTAAGAGAGTGTCTTACACCGGCGGTCTTTGATGTTGCATCGAAACGTTCCAGTCTGTCGTGATTTCAGGTCAAAACGATATCAAGAAGCTGCGAAGGGAAAACGAGCAACTACGTAGGGAAATCTGGAGCCTCAGGGATGAATACGACAAGCTCGAGGAAATTTTGAAGAAACAAAAAAATCGCGACGAAAGCGAAGAGTACGAGGTAAGCAGATCGATTTTAATTACGTATTATAATAACATGAAAATATGATAATAATTAATCTAGCAAGAAAAAAGTTTCATTGTTTCTGCACTTTTCATGAGAAAAAAAATGTTGGACACTTTTTAATTAAAATATAATATTGTTACCACAAATTAATAATCGATACGATCAAGGAAATAAGGATATGTTGTAAATTGCAGGATCGCTCCGAGGAGGATGACCCGCAATCGGATTTTTCCTGCGATGAGGACGAGGAAAAATACGAGAATAACGAAAAGACGGCCGAGGATTTCAACCAGGAGGAGCAGTTAGAAAACGCGGAGAATCAAAAGATCTCTTCCGAGAAAATGAGCAATAGTTTGCATCGGCTTCACGTGGAGTTCGACGATCTGTCGGTCGTCGAGGAAGAGGAAGAGCTCAAGAGGGATAAGGAGAGAAAGGACGCGACTCCGTCGGATGAGGGCCAGAGGAACGAGGCCGCTCGACATCCACCCCCGCCGACCTCCCTCGGCCCCCGGCAACTTCACGATAACATCCCGTTTTATCCGGCCACGTACGAACCGACGAGTAGTTTTAGCGGAACCAGTTATTACACCGAGTACCCGTTCGAGTTCCCGAGTACGGTCGATTTAATGCTAGCCGCGGATACGTCCGCCTTATTGGTTTCGCCCTGCTCAGGATTACAGTCTGATCCATTGATGCCGCCGATCGGCCTGAACACCGATCTGGATCGAGTGGCCGATCCGATGCTACCTCAAATTCACGTTCCGCCCGTCGGTTGGCAAAATGACGTGACTTCTCAAAAACAAATGCCGATTTATACGGCTACGAGCGTCGCTCCCATCGCGCCATTAACAGGGATGCAAATGATGAGAAAACCGGATTCGCACCAGGAATATCAGAAAATGGAAAATTCGATATCTCCCGATGCTTTGTTAAAGAAAAGGAATGCAAGTACGAAGCAACCCGCAAAATTCCAAACCATGTCAGATATTCAAGATTCGCGAACGCAACTTTCAAGTTCCGAAGAAGCGCTCGACAAGAACATTTGGAACGTCACCGCGAATTTTTTCCATAAAAAGCGAGCAATGACGAACGGAGAAAAAGACGTGCACAATGCCGAAGATACTACCATCGCGTCTATGATGCCGGAAAAACCAAAACATTTTTTCGCGCCGCTATCTTTCAAGCTGAAAAAACAAGAAGAAGAATCGCCCACCGCGAGTATGAGTCATTTTGGAACCGGAACTAGTTCGAGTAGCGGTAAAACAGCTTCCACAGTCGTCTCCAAAACTAATCCTTTCGTAACGCAAAAAGGTTCGGCGGATATTTACGTGAATGGCGCGATACCTTGCGAGGATGAAAATAAAAATGATTCGAAGACATTCCTGAGTACCGATAATCTGTTGATCGCGGACAACAGAAGCGCTCCGAGTAGTCAATTGACGAAATCGTTATCATGTCAAAATCTTTCTAGCGAATCTCAGAGTATGGCGCAATTAAAATTGAATCACATTGAATCTCAAATGTTCACAAAAAGCGACAATGCTTTAGACAATATTTCGAATTCTTCCAAGCCGTATAAAAGTCATCTAAATGTGACATTGAAGATTCCGCGAATCGAGCGAACACCGAGCCCAGAAACACCGGAGATTCCCAATCTGCCCTCGATAGATTACCGCCTCTTCAGAAATCCCTTTCTGAGAAACTTCGATAAGATCTGTCCCGGCTATCAAACAGAACCGAAACCTCCTTCCGCCACAATGCCGTTCTCTCTTCAAGTAAATGACGATGACCTCGCTTATCAGTACCCTACGCCAGCTTACGGTCGAGGAATTCACTTCAACGAGAAGCTTCGAACTACGCACTTGCCGGATCAGAATCGATTGCTGATACCTGGGGATCAACTGATGAGCGGCAAGCAGGACATCCAAGTGACTTCCTTCGAGAAACCAAGTCCTTGCACTTTGATACCTTCCGCTACTCCGTATGATCTGACGACTCTAAGAAGATTGAACGCGAATCGATATCTTCAAAGTCAGAACTTATACCAAAACGTTCCGTTTATACCGCACAGTCCATTTTACCCGAGGAGAAATGAAATGTTGTACTACGATAACGTCACGATGAAAGTACCAGCGCAAACGCAAACGTCCCTCGACGGTGACTCGCATCACGAGGATGAGGAAACGATCAGCGCGCCAAATTCACCGGGCGGACAGATGCGGAAGAAGATTGTCAAAAGGGACAAAATTTCAGTCAAGGATCAGAGACCGTTATCGCCGGCGGCACAAAGGAGACTGAAGAAGCAGGGTAGCGCCACGTCGACGGATACGCTCGATTCGCCGGGGAAAATGACGCGGAAGAAACCGAGGCGATTGAGCACGTCTGACACGCAGGAGGATAAGAATGAGAGCAGATCGTCGTCCTCGGGACAAGACTCGCCGCGCAAAGATCAGAACCGAAAAATGTCCGCCTGCATTAATTCTAAGAGACGACCGTCTCAAACGTCACTGAAAACATCGAGGAGCGGTAGCGTGGACGCGTCCAAGGACAAATATACGGACGCGCAGAATTTAGAACGCGAAAGGACGAACTCGGTCAGTAGTCGGGAAATTGCCAACGTGAAAGCTCGCAAAACTAGTACTAGCAGTGGTAATGTGCCATGGTGCGCGTGTTGGGGAAACGGCTGCATTTAATCACGGTTAGATATTTAATCCCATTCAGGGATAAAACTAGAGAAGCGGATACACGTGTAAAATGTGAAACGTTGATTAATTTTGATGTTAAAAGCCAAATATAATCAATAATAATTAGGGCGTTAATTGCCATTTAATCAGTATCATTAATCTTGTGATCAGTTTCGCTCGCGTAAAATTAATTATATTTAAAAACAAAATTATGAAATAATTTTGTAAATATTTAAAATTATTATATAAATATCAGTATAAATAATGTAAAAAATTATGTCTTATTGTTAGTATACTATACTTCATATATTATTAATTTCAAAAGTGAGAGTATACACCGGTAATTTATCATTTCCAAAAGTTTGGTGCGCCAGGTGCATACTGACCTACTCGCATTTTACTTGAATGCCTTTCAGTATTCTGATTTCGTATACATCTCGCGAAACATTAAAACGAGAAGCTATCACTTGAACTGGACGCGATGATCTTTATTTATTTAAGACAGCTGCAATTTCTGTCAACAGCAAAAGGTTCTTGCTACTTTCTGGCCCTCAACCGAGAGAGGGTCGAGTCGACTGAATAATTCGAAGGACAAATACCAAAGGGAAATGCTGATGTGTAAGTGTAAGGATACCGTTATCGTAGCCAGGTCGTAAAACAAGCACAGACAGTGATAGTATTGTGGCAGTACTAACGCAGTTGCCGGGGTGACAGTTGTATCTAAACTAGTTCTGCCAAGAGACCACGAAGGCAAACCTGCATCCGCTCTTAAGGCAAATTTGCTGGGGTTAGCGAGAGTTAAGCTTGTCCTAAACACGCGTGCGAATAATGGTTCTTGAATTATATAACTCTCTGTAATAATGTTAATCTAATTAAATTTCTTAAACATGAAAATTTTAAATATATCTAAAATATTAGATAAAAAAATTAATTTTTTAGAGATTTATGTTATTGTGTTTTGTTGTTATTGTGTTTTATTTTTAAGTGTCCATAGTTTTTATCTGTCGTAAAGGAAATGTATACAATTTATGATTAATCTGTTTTAAAAAATTATTATTATAGATTTAGCGGTTATTCTTTAATTATTGCGTATTGATTATTAATTATGAATATATTATTATTATTGTAAAATATAAAACTGAATTGTATACGAATATATTATTTCTAGTCATTTATTATAGTCATGCAATTTACGCGCTTCAATGTCTTAATTTCTATTAATTTATAACAATATTAGCAATATTCTGGCAATGAGTATTCCCACGCATTTATAGACAAATTAATTTTTAAAATAATAATGTTGAAATAGTATAAGAATGTATATATAAATATAAATATAAATTGCGTGTTATATCGAATTAGTATGTATTACACAATATTTGTATATTTTGATAATTAATTTATATAGACATTTTTTTGTAATATTTAAAATGTAAAGTGGTTTATAATATCTTTGAAATTTTAGAAACGTTTCAACACACACATGTTCTCAGAAAGAATCTAGTCTTATAAAATTGTTTTTCTTTTTTAAATACATGTGTTATGTATTATACTTTTATACTTTCCATTCTAAAATATAAAATATGGATTTTTTATTTAAAATTTTATCTTGTGCATCCCAATAACCTATTAAGTAATAATATTCCTAACTTACTTCCGTGCATCATCAATTATCCAATTACGTAAAATTCATTAATGACTGACAAGATACAAGGAAAATTGAACAAGTTCGCGATTATCCCTTTACGAAAACTTCTCCGCGTCATTAGTTGTCGTCTAATTACGTACGAAGATGAAGAGAGAAATATAAAAGGCAGAAAATAAATTTGTCTTTCAAATTTTATAAGATTTTAGAAAAACTTAATTAAAATTTAATATAAATAAGATAATCATTGTTTTCTGTTTTAAATAATCATTGTTTTCTGTTAAAATAACCATCGCGCGAGTAAATCTTATAAAATTATCATCGATTTGATTTTATTCTTGCATTTTTGACAAATATATAATATATAATGTTAATTTATATTAGAGAATTTTCTACCTATATACACGCACATAGTTTTATATTTACAATTATTTTGAAATTTATAATTTTTTATTCTTAATTATTTTATGATTTTCATACGCGTTTCATAAAAAAATATTTCTGTAATTCAAAATTATATATATATGTAACTATATGCATATGTAAAATTACAATAAATGTACTTTGAATAAAAATATAAATGAATATTTTAAATGTGAAAAAATTATTTCTTCCTTCAGTATACATATATATATAAGTGTGTTTTGTGTATGCACACACATATTTCTATACATATATATCGTGTGTATATATATCGCAAAATTTTAATGGCAGATGTACAAGAATAATATTTTCTGACACACACACACTCTCTCTCTCTCTCTCTCCTCGATTACTTATCCTATATTTTACCAATCCATACTAACATCTGGCGATATATTTGGCGCACTTACGAGTATGCGGAAGTATCAACTCATTTAATTATTGTAAATGTACTGATTGTGAGGGTCGCGACAACGGCGAATTTAAATTAAAAAAATGTCCATGTCAGTCCTTCTTTCTCTCACTTTCGAGCGAAACCTTTTACGAGAAACTGTGAGAAGAGCCGGTTGGGTCGCGTACGAGTGCCAACGATGAGAACGGCAAGGAAGATTGCAGGTGCAATTAAAATGCAAATCATCCCTTTTCCCGCGACCCGCCCGCTAGACCATCTTTCCAGGAGGTCCCTGGTTCTCTCGCATCCTGGCAACCCTATACCATAATAGTAACGCCGTCACCGATTAACTTGGAACTAGTTTAGAAGCGACGCGACTCAGTTCGGCTCCGCACTCGGTTACACGAAGGCACACACAAAGAGCGAGAACAAAACTCGGTCCTTCTCTCAGTCTCTCTCTCTCTCTTTCTCTCTCTCACAAAGTGGCACGTAAATGGAAGATGGTATACGCTAATACGGTCTAACATCATTTGCAAATGTCACTGCGAGACGTGCTCCCGGCATCCAACATGAGATACGTGAGAGAGGTGCGCTTCATTTTATCGTAGGAGAAACAGACTTCGTGTTACGACGAAATATAAAGGTTATAATAAAAATTCTAAGATTATCTTAATGTTATATATTTCTTTAATCTCTATATCGATATCATCCATAAATGCGCGAAAGCACAGAATAATTAAAGGTAAGTTGTGTATATCAAAATTCATAATAAAAAGAATAATACCGAATTATTGTTATAGTATCTTAAAGTGTACTACAGCTAATAGGAATATAAAATAATCATCATGTCTTTAATTCCTATAATTAATCGTTTAAATTAATAAATGTCATTATTTTAAATATGTTTTGAACCTCTATATCTCTAATTAATATAGATGAATATCGTATGGATAATTTTCAATCGTTTTACACACATTCAAAATTTTTGTATCTTTTCTTAAGAAAATCATTTAACGTCTCAAACTCCTGTATAGTTTATCTTTCATATTCAAGAAGCTTCTTTACTTAAATATTTTTTAGTAAAATATTCTTATATCGAAAGCTAATTTAATAAGACTTTGCTTGGATTCCAACGACTTCATATCTTTGGCGTTGTTCAGACGAACAAATCGTTACTGAGACGAGTATGCAGATTAATCGCAAAGCAGCAGTAATATCGCTGTCATCTGTCTGCAAGATAACTGTGGAATGCGGACAGGCCGGAAGTAACGTCGCATTGTCTTCGTGGAAATAGCGCGGAACAAGATGGAAGAGACAGTAGCTTAATGGCCTGATTTCATTTGCAAATGTCATCAAGAATTTTCACTCCGCTCGACGGAAACGTCTCGCGCTTCTCATGCGAAATGATAAGCATAATCCAGAGTAGCATAATTCCCACTAACGCATGCTACTTAATTAATTATGCGGAAGAACTGTCGCGCTTCTGCTCGCGTTCAATTTACAAATTACAAAATACTGCATTACGTTCCAACTAATATGCAAATCTGCAAAGTTACTCTCTAGCGAACTCCTTTAATACGTGAATAAAATTCACGTATTAAATATCATTTCAAAAATATAGTATAAAATATATTAAAATATATAAAATATATTAGAACAACGCCAAAGATATGAAGTCGTTGGAATTTTATTAAATTAACTTTCGATATAACAGAATATTTTACTAAAAAATATTTAAGCTTCTTGAATATGAAAGATAAACTATACAGGAATTTGAGACGTTAAATGATTTTCTTAAGAAAAGATAAGAATTTTGAATATGTGTAAAACGATTGAAAATTATCCATGTGATATGCATTTATAATTAAAAAAACAGATTTATATAAAACTTCAAATTTGACGATTTTTATAAAGACACTATGACATATAAAAAGCATTATTGTTAGAAAAAAGTAAATTTTTTTCAGTTTTAAAACATTAAACATGCTTTTTTCGATATACAAGTTATAAATTTATCAATCGATTTTGTCAAGATTGATTTTATCAATTTTTTGTAAAACACAAAAATGAATTCATAATTTTCCAAGAGAATCAATAATATCGGCATTGCAGATAAACAAATACATATTTTATATTTCCGGAATCTCAATTAAAAAGTATGTTGACATTGAATTTTATGATCACGTTTAATATAAAACATAATTATCTACTGTTAAATTTTAATATTAAAATGATAAATTACACACTTTTTAAATGAACATTATCAGTGAATAATCATATCATCGGCATAATGATGGTGATGCTAATTTTGTAGAAACCTGTTGAATTGTGATCGCGATTTCAAAGAACTGTCACATTAATTCTACGCAATTCTCTTAAAAAAATGTGCATAAATTCATAGAATAATGTAATATAGTTTCTAGTAAAATAATATGACAAAGAAACTCGAGGGAGGTATGGCACGTCTACTGCTCTCGAAAACTTCATGGCGGAAAAAATGTCAAGGCCGCGATCGGCATAAGTTTCTCCCGGAAAAAAATTTCAAACATCCCTGGGACTCGCTAAAGCTTTAGCAAGAATCCATGAATCGTCTCCGTCCCCTTCGCTGTTTCGCCATCGCTTTGCATTATGCACTCTTGAAAGTTTCACAAGTCTTTAACTTGAACGGTGCAGACTCTTTGCCCCGTGCGGAAATTTCACGTAAGTTTCATTATATTT